ATGTTACTGTTGTACGCATTATAACAGTCCTGCTGCACGCAGATCTCTTTGTAACCTAACTTCGTCAGCTACGGCCCTGGCGATCCTTGTATTGTGTTCTTCATCGTTAGGGTCAAGTGGTAACACGTATTGACCGCGTGACTCGAAGACTACTCCTCCATCGATACGGTCGTCTTCAGAATGACGTTCAGCTTCTGAAACTGCAGCTGCTCCTGAAGAACTGCCTGGGAATCCAAGTCCTGTACGAACAAGGGATCCATCAACTAGACCTCGAATACCGAATGCACGTTCTAGCCTGAATATCATGGCATTGTTTCGGGCTTGGTCTTCTGCAGGTGTAGACGGTGGATTATGTTGCTGAGTAGAAAGAATACTTCTCTCCCATCTTTTCACCCGCCAGAATCCTAGAAGAGATGTAAGAAGAATAAACCAACCTAAAAGCAGCAACATCAGGCTGGCGTCTTATCGTAAGTGTTAAGAATACACACCGACGGTCATCAAAAAGAAAGAGAGCCATTCAGTCGTAACGTCACCAAACATGAAGGGTGAATTATCGGGTGGGGGAATATCCGCAGCAGCAGCTGTAGCCATAGTTTCGTTCAAGTTTCTATAGTACTCTTCGGCTTGAGCGGCGGTCTCGAAAGTAGGTTTTGGTTGGGATTTCCAATTCCAACCAGCATCCTCAGAAGTTCCACTTCCGGGTTCTATCCAATCATCTGCTCTTGTCCGCATTGCGAATCCATATTGAATAAGAGTAACACCGAGACCTGCGCGAGAACCCAGCTTGGCGGCGTGTGTGGTGTGGAGAAGATAAGTGAGGAGGAAACCAATGAATGTGAATGATATTGACACAAGCATATTCCAAAGGAAGGAGAACAAACTTCCTGTTGGAAGGGAGTCGATGATCATCTCTCCAGGAGTGTTGTTCGATGACGGCGCATGAATGGTGGTTTCCCAATAGGGTGGTACAGAGTCAGCTTGAGCGGTTGCATAAGAAGGGGGCGCATCTTTCGATGTTTCTTCTGGCACAAGAAGGGTTTCGTCACCTGTATAAGATGACAAGGATCAATATCAGCCTGAGAAGCATTGCGACATGATAGATTGATTGGGGCTTGAAAGGGACAAGGAAACCCACCTTCTTGCATCCGGATTGGTGCTGAGGGTTTGGCTGTAACATTGGCAAACACACCATCGTTCGATGTCCCGCCACCAACTGCACCTGTAGGGACTTGCGGTGCTAGTCCTAGCCGAGGGAGATAATGACTTGGCAAGACTGAGGCAGCCGTCCTACGCAGCCAACCCCCGCGATTTCTTTCAGCATCGGTGTCTGCCGTACCAAAAGAAGGGACATATCCATTTGTATTCCCAAATTCATTGGGCAGGGCTCTTGCAGAGGGACCAGGAGGGGAACCAGGTGGTGGTCGAATGTAATCATAATCCACGTTGTCAAAGTCGTAAGTGGTCGATTGAACATCTTGTTGGTCCAATTCCTGTTGGCGAGCAAGAGTATGTGTCTCAGCGGACAATGGTTCAGAATTGGGTATAGAATGGTAACCGCCATTGCGGGTGTTGGCTACTGGGATGTTGTCGTCCTCAAGTTCGTCGTCTGAGTCGTCGAAAGCTGCCTCCATCTCGTTCTCTGCTTGAGGATCTGTGTGCGCATTTGGCAGGGGTGCATATCTAGAACTCATGAGTGGGGGAAAGAGAGAAAACTAGGAATTAATTATTGAGAGTGGAATATAAAGGAGGAGATGGTTGTTGGTTGCAGCCCTTGTTCTTGCAATGAGCGCTTTGACAGATCCAGACGGAAACTGACATGATCTACCCACGCTGACTAATAATGAGCGCTCAATGCCATATATGGAAGACTGGCTGTCATTGGCTCCTCGCAGCTGATTGGCTGGGAGCAAGGATCCCTACTGAACGTCGAGCTGACTCCACAGTAAGGCCGTGTGCGATTGGTCCATTCTAGGCCTTCCTCTTTCGGCCGTACTCATTCTTCATTGATCTCGCAGCCCGACATTACAATTTTCGTTGCGTAGACTGAGCCGCGGCTGCATAGCACACGCACGCCATCAGGCATCGCTTCTGAATGACTCTAAAGCTATATTGACTTGTTCCATTTCAGACCAGGGAACCGAGGAGAATACATAGTGCTACATATTATCATAACCAAATACTCAAAACCGTGCCTACAGGTCTAACCGGTAGTGATCGATATATCATAAAAACTGTACGCTCGTCAGCCAGAGCTATCGCCTATCCCTCTGCCTCGACGTCGCAGTACTACACGACGGACTACTTGTATCAGCCCGAAGAAAGTGCATCGTCAACTCCGAAACGGCATGTTCACGGTTTTGGTCATAAATAGGGCGAAAATTGCAAACAGCGGCCGGGAATAGTGGGTATATCATCTGGTAATGCAGATGCTATTGAAAAAATGTCGATGGTGATGAATGTCTGTCGATGAAATGAATGCAACAATGAGGCAACTTACCAATAGCTATACAAAATCTGGTTTGTTGGTATCGCGGACTAGCCGAGATATCCGTTCGCAACTCTCCATGCGTGCATCGACGAGTTCAGAGAACATCTCCAAAAGACGGGCGCTGGGTTCTGATGGTGATGCGCGAAGAGGACGTCGCCGTCTGTGCAGAGGAGCAAGGCTGTCTAACTTGAGTTTCATGCCCGCCTTGCGTCGCATGTATAGCGACTGACGAGCAGCGATGGGGTCCATGGGAGGAGGTGTAGTTGGTTCCGTCTTGATAGAGACGGGGTCACTGACACCAGAGTTGATACTGCCAGAATCTGGCGATGATGTCACAGAGGATGAAGGTGAAGCAGCGGCGGCTGCGAGTGGAGGGGCGTCGATGCCCTTGGCAAGAGCGAGCTCGAGGGATGCTCGGGTGTTGTGCACCCAGTAACGCTCTTGCTGATAGAAAGTCTGAAGTGAATCGAGCAGGTTTACTGCTGAGGGTTGTTGCTCGTATGTGGCTGGAGAACGAGGAGGAGTTGGCAAAGCTGTGCTTGGGGAGGGGGATCTGAACTTCATGTTGGGTAATTGGCGGAGAGAGCGATTGGGGGGAAAGTTGAAGAGAAGGAAACGGTTGGATGGTCGCGTCTTTATGATTGGGCTACATGGCCTCGACCAGCAAAAGAATGCACAAGGGCAGTCACCGAGGCCAATGAGGACCCAGACCGGAGACGCGAGCCAATGAGATAGCCGTTTCAAAAGCCTCGGTGCTCTCCATCAGCCATCCACCAATCAGAGTCCCCATAGCGATTTCTGTCCCAGTCACCCATGTATATCTGTGCTAGAAAATGCTGTAAAAACGTCTTTTCGAGGCTGCAGAGGGCACACCAACCTCTGAGGACTTGCGATGGTTGTGTTGCAGACGAGGTGGGGCTGGGAACTGGAGTGATTCGAGGATGTTCTACACGATACGGTGACAAATGTGATCTGTTTTGAGATGCTGACATAAGCCATATCTATTGGCTCCCAACACACACGGGACTGCCACGAGCAGCCGCGGTCCAATCCTGGCCTTCTTCGGCGCCTTTAGCTGTCCAATCCCGGCCATTCTTTCCTTGCCCTTCATTGGCTCCCTGGATTTTGGGCGTAGAGTAGCAGGCTGACGTAATCCTCGCTTCATTCGTCCGTGTGGTCTGCGAATTCGCTCCTTTGCTTCTTCGCGTTCTTCACAATGCTCATCTTACCCTTCCTCCTCGCTCTCCCTCTAGTTCTCGCCGCTGACACTCTACGCCTTCATCATCGCATCTACCACCCCTCCGCAGAACCCCCGCCCTTCACAGAACGAGGCGCGCTCACACTATCCCAATCTCGGTCACCGCCCAGTGCCAGTCTCGTGCATTCCGAGACTTTCAAAAACGACTTTCAACAATTTGCGTCCTCCATTCCAACTGAAAACTTAGATCTCGCTCTATATCAGGTAGCTCTTCAGAGGGAAGGTGATCAAGACCAATCCTCGTGGCATATCTCGGCCGTTAAAGCGGTATGTATGCATCGAGTTTTCTCCGTACACAATCGCGAACTGCTGTTGGTTTACGTCCACTGATCTCCTTGTCCGCTCTAGTGCCATCTGTTACATGCCACGTCCGAGTCTATAACTCTCCATTTGTCTGCTGACGGCGTACCCTTCGCTATCGACTATTTTGTGGACCCCGTCCCTCATGACGGATCGTGCGCGAAACGATCTCGTTCCAAAAAAGTTGCCGTAAAACCACTCAATTTCAAACCCGTGGTAAATTCGACCGTGCTGGTTCGGCCGGTGACATTTCCTCCCTTGTGGGTATCTCTCCGATTAAACTTGCAACTTTTGGGTTTCAATGGTGGGCAGGCTCACATGCTGATCAATTCAAATATTTGCTTGATAGGCCTCAATTGCGTACTCCGCCCCCACTGACCCAAGAAGGAAAGCCAGTCGAGCCTGTTCCAGAGAAGTCTTTTCTGCAGAAATATTGGATTTATATTGTTGTCGCCATTGCGGCACTAGGTGCGTCCTTACTCCACAGTTATCGTTTCTAGCTTTAACCTCGTCCCCCTCGTGATGAAATATTTTCAATCATTCAGCGTTGTCACCAACGCCGCCCGAAGAAGAGAACGGAGGACGTACAGCCGCGCAGAGGTAGATTTGCAAACTCTGAATCTGCCACACTCACTCCGTGTACAATTACACCACTGTACCTCGTTTCTCTGCATCAATGACAATATACCCTGCTCCAAAACGCATACCCGGTCTGCGCATCGCGGCATAAGTGCTTGATGCTACACGCAACACTGGTGTCGCGTCGTGGCCCCGTCCGAGCCCCGTCCGTTCCATGTAGCACGATTTTCCGGCGACGCCTCGTATTACACGCTTGCCCTTTTGAACTTTGATTTTCAAACATTCTGTCAGGTTACGAACTCTAAGCTCGTTGAAACTATGCAAACCGTTTCACAACCACCACGCAATAAAACTGTCAGATGGTAACGGAAGCATGACTCTATAGCTCAGTGGTAGAGCATACGATTGCAGTTCAACTACTGGATATCGTGCGGTCCCGTGTTCGAACCACGGTGGGGTCTCTTCTTTTATTGTTAAAAATACTTCAGGCTTGTGACATCACGACGGGAAAACAAAAGAAAGATAACAACAGCAAGGAAGGACACTTGTACATTTGAGGTGAGTAATTCAATTTCTATCAGATGTCCTTCCAGTCGCTGAAATTCAAGCCCATCATGTGTTCAGCTGCACCCTGGATAGCCTTGAAACCAAGATGTCCATAGAACCTCTTCGCATTCTCATTTCTCAGGTCTAGTCCCAACCATACCGCTTTCAACCCTTTCTCCTCCCTGAGAAACTCGACCAACTTCCCAACCATCTTCTTCCCCCAGCCTTGCCCTTGATATTCAGGTAAGATGTCGATGTGCATGTGTGCAGGGGAGAATGCAAGCTCTGCTGCATTCGCTTTGTATGGTTTGTGTATCCATCCTAGCACTCGCAGATCGCTTTCTGTAGGAGACGGAGAATCTGCATCGGGTGGGACGTATGGGTTCGGGTATGTAACTCTCCACTGCGGAAACCAGTCCTCTTCCAGTTCACGTTCGAACGATACCGTATCAAACGCTACTAGAATATAACCCACGACCTTCTCATCTTCCTCACCAGTCCGATGATCGATTAGAACGAATCCTGTGGCGGAAGGACAATTGACGTAGGGATCTGCCCAGAGTAAACCTGGAAGTTGTTTCAGGGTATATTTCTCCTCTGCTGATTTTCCTGCATCTCCTGTCAAAAGACAGATGTGGTTTAGATATTTTGTGTTGGCAGATGTTGCCCGACGGATGAAGATCTGTCTATCTGGCATTTGTTTGGAGAGCGGTGTAGGTAGAGTTCGATCGGGTATCTATCCTCTCTTCGCTCGAGATAGTGCTGATTCTAGTCTTGTCTTTGTAGAATGTGTTATGTTCTGGCGATTGATACAGCAACCTGTGACGAAGGAAGCTCGACGTTAGTACTTATTTCCGATACCGACCATGTGAGTATCCTACAGACCACTTTGTGCAGAACTTATGTTGACTGAATTGCTTGATCGTTATCTTCATAGGCTAGAATTATTATATTTTTTCTTCATGATGTCACCCCAGGAATCGCATGCGGGGTAACTTCGGGAATAACATTGCACATGGTCCGAGAACACTTCGCTGGCATTATTCTCACTATGGCCGTCGTCGCACCTTTTTGCAAGTGAGCAACTCGTTGGAACAATTACATTGAAATAAAGTGAGCACTTTATCATCCATAGTACATCCAGCTGAAACAAATACAATCGCTAGGGCGATCCTGAACACCATCTACTCCACCCAATCCTGGAACCTCAAGCCATGAACGAGAGGATCTGCTCCTTCAACCGGCCTATACCCAACATACTGATAAAAGTCTCTCGCATTCAAATTCCTAGGATCCATTCGTACCCAAACCGCGTCAACCCCTTTCTCCTCCTTCAAGAACTTGATCATCGTCCCAATCAACTTCTTCCCCCATCCTTTATGTTGATACTCAGGTAAGATATTGATATGCATATGAGCAGGGGAAAATTCCAAACAAGCTTTGTCAGCTAATTTTGGATGATGAATCATATTGATGAACTTCATGTCTTCTTCTGTTGGATTTGGAATATGGCTTTCTGGTTCAGGAACGAAAGGGATAGGATACTTCTTCCTCCAACGTGGATACCATAAACTTTCAAGCTCTCTTTCAAAGGAAGGAGTATTGAAAGCTACTAAGGTGTATCCTACCACTCTCCCCTCTTCAATGTCTAAACCATCACCTGGATCTGTTATTGAAGATGGTTCTATTAAAACGAATCCTGTACCCGAAGGTAAGTTGAGGTAAGGTTCAGCCCAAACTACTCCTGGTAATTCTGAGAATTTGTGAAGGTTTATGGATGATTTTCCTGCGTTGGCCGAGAGGAGACAGATATGGGATATAGATTCGGTATCGGCTTTGGTTGCTCGTCGAATGTAAGGAGAAGACATGAAAGACATGGCCGGGATTGTTACGAGGTCGATTTATCGGGGGACGTGGAGGCGATGATTGCTGTGAGTCTAACCCTTGGTACGAACGGGTATTGAAGGGGTAGTGATTCCACGCTAATACTGAAGATTCTAGACAAAATCGTTAGAGTCTTTCAGCGATAATGGCTCAGGACAATGGCCAGTACTGGAGAAAGGCTGAAAGCGCACCTTGAGCTTTTGCTACTAAGGGACTACCTGTAGGTCGGTATTGTTGATGACTTCGAGTCAGAGTGATCAAGCAGGTGAGTGAAAATCGTCGTGGCGTCTGATGAATTTGCCTTCACAGGTCGCCTGTATTTATGAGAGCGAGTAACGTACTCGTAACACACGCACGTCTCCTAATGATAAAGCCAAAGGTTAAATCAACAAAACCCATTCAAGTTGGATCTCACGCATGTATACGACACCGGGTCGATAATCATCAATATCACCATGACCCTATCCACGACTCGGAACTGCGCTAAGAATGAAAGGGTTTATAATGTTCACGTTACAAAACGACACCGCGTCCGATGTTCAGACTGTTACGATCTGTCCCATCGTTACTTTTCTTGAACTTCCGTTTACAAATTTAACCGTTTGAACAGCGTGGAGTTGTTAAACTATCAGCGGGGTGAGAATACTTTCATGATATATAACGATTATTCGGATTGCGGATTGGAGGTCGGACTCCGAGTACAAATAACAATTACGACGAATCTAAGTAAGATAAACCACTGGGCAGTGAATGGAGATAGAGAGTATTTATACATTGACCGACCAAACGTCCGTTTCAGAATTGATAAATGCCAAACGTTATGCTAAATGTCCATGTCATATGCAAGAAAAATAAAAAGTTTGAGTGATGATCACAAAACAAATTATGCTTTCGCCATTGGAACTTCACAAAGCCCGACTCTCGAAACCTATTCGACACCCCAAACAACATCTTCAACGCCATAAATCTCGTCCTGAAGTGACAACAACTCCACTTCTGAAACGCGAGCACAACCGAAAGCGTGAACCTTCCTCAGCGGTTTAGGTGTGATATATGGTGGTTGAACTATAGTTGGCAAACTTTGTACAGCAGTCACCGGCTTGTATGGAGTCACCGAACTTCTCCTTGGTGAGGCCGATTGCCCTAAGCCAATATTCCTGGCCGCTCTTCGCTTCAATGGTTTGATGGCCCGAGTGGGTGTAGGTGGCCCGATGAATGGAGATAGTTTACGAGCTTGCACCATTGAGCGCAACGCGCTAAATTTAGCGTCCGTACATTGGATTAACGTGAGCTCCAGGAGATGAGGACAATACCAGCAAGTCATCTGGGGTTCAGAATATCCTTGGGAAGAAGCCGAAAAGCTATTGTTAACTCCTGATAACCTTGTGAGAAGCTCGTTCACACCCAGACACGAGTCAATCACAAGGGTTTCCAACGACGGAACACATTTCATAAAGGAAACGGTTTCGTCGGGTTTGAGTTGGAAATACGCGAGCTTCAACGTTGTCAACATGACCAGCCTGGGATCACGGAACAGAGAATCAGGACCATGCAAGGGTATAACCTCACGGGAAGAAGGTGGAATATATGCTAAAGAGATGGACTTGATGCCTGGGAATGAGAATTTGCGGAATGGACAGACTAGGCCATCTGAGTCAAGGCATTCGACTTCTAGTTCTTCTAACTTTGGTAGATGAACGACGGGGAAAGGGTCACCGTTTGGTATAGGATCGAGACCACGCCAAGCGACGTTCGACTGGTTCAATACCAAGCAAAGCTTGCGAAGATTGGGCATGGGGATGTAGTAGAAGAATTGCCAAAATTCTTTAGCGGGGGGACATGACCAACTGAATTCCTCCATATTCTTCATGCGGAGCGGTGGTACAATAGGGCGTGAAGTTCGGGCACCCGGGTAGGATGGAGGACCAGTGAATTCATCCTTAACTGTTGCGAGGCGAATATCGCTGATTGGAATGGCGTTCTCCAGCTGTAATCTAATAAGTAACGGCGCCCGAAAAAGGAACGAGATGAGAGATGACATTGTGAAAACGTAGGGTCGTTGGCCTTTCCCATCTGCTGCCAGTCTGCCAATAAGCAGACTAGTAAGCTTAGGGTAACTACATGGTGGTAACTCCCAAAGACCTATTGCGTGAAGGTCAATGCAGCTCAGCTGAGGTAGTTTATCCGGGAACGCGACCGGAGGAGTGTGCGTAGCGAGTGGAAAGCCAGGCACGAATGGATCTTTTCGGCAAAGTCTAAGCGTAGTCAAAGAGGGCATCGGAAGAGTCTTGTCGTTTAAGATTAAGAGCATGGATTTCAAGTCAGCGGGGTGGGATGATTCGACATCCACGTTCTGCCAACGAGGGGTAACACTCTTGATAAGATTGAAAACGACATCAGCATTATATGAAGAGTTATTGTTGTCGGAACGGCTTCGCAATATCAACGTCAAGGGTTGTGTCTTGGCTCTGCTGAACATTCTCAATATGGTGTTGATGGGTTTGTGAAGAGACAATGTAGACCAGAAAGATGAAGTATCGAGCATAAGATTTCGCCACCGTTGACAAGCATGGGAGATTGTAAGTGCGAGGCGCGTACGATCTGTAGGAACAGTGGAACCGAGGCAAAATGAGAATATTTCGAGGAGTATTTCGGATGGGATATTTGACATCGCAGGTATTGGTAGTGTTTCGCTTCGCCCATCCTCTACACTCAGGATGGACGAAGCTTGGGCGACTATCAGACCCGACCTATGATTAGAGACCCCTTCTGCACGACTAGTCGATGATGGATCAGCAGCGAGAGACCTTCCCGCTTCAATGATGGCTTTTGCCGCCTCTAGTATCGTCCGTTGGGACTTGATATGCTCAAGTTCTTGGCGGGTACGGACTTCTTCTTGAAGAAGTCTATCAAGTTCCGTGTCAAGGACATTGAGATTGATTTCCTGCATGGAGGATTAGAGATTGAGGATGTGGTACTGAGTGGCAAGCTGTGCTGAAGGTGGTAGTGCAGAGAAGAAAACGCGCGAGCT